AGTAACACTTGCACACCCTCCCCGTGACGGTGGAAAGGTGAAGAGCTGCCTCTCTGAGCTGTGGCCACTCTGGTAGGACTCGTTTATCACCTCTTGATCTCATTTAACCCCCGTCAACTCTTTGCTGGGATGAAGTAACCTGTGTGCTGCTCTGGTTTGGAGCCCTGCACGGCTGTCGTGCCTGGACACCGATGTCCTCCATGCTTCAACGCAGGATGATGACCTCTCTGGTAGGTAGCCCTCTTGGCTACTTTGTGCCAGGCCAGGGAATGTGTTCCTTCAGGATCCCAGGGCCAGCACCCTCAGAACAAGCTGGCATGGTGGAAAGGAGGCAGGGCCTTTGCCTGGTGCTTCTGGTTTTGGTGACTATCAGTGGTCACCAGAGTGTGCTGCACAGACAGCTCATTGAGAGATGTAGATGGTCATCTCTGCCCAGCATGGGAACTGCCAGCCCAGGAAGTGCCATGGCATCAACCCTTGCCATGGCTGATCTCTACCGAGCATTGGCCCTGCCAGTGGTGTCAACGTTGATCATGGCATCACCTTCCAACCTGAGATGCACGGGACAATGAAAGTCCAGCAGAGCTGCTCAATCCCTGCAATAGCCCAGCCAAGAGCAGGTGATGCCATTCCAAAAGAGGGACCCAAGGCAGGAGGGCACTGTTGATGGGCTGGAGGGAAACATGGACCACAGCCCACCCCCTCAACCTGCTGTAGGATGAGCTGTCATCAGCAGGTTTCTGTTTATGGACCTCTGTGTAATGTGGAGGCTTCTGCCCCATCAGAGGTTTCAGCAGACAGGAAACTACCATCTCTTCCCTTGGGTGCCCAGGAGCTGGGCCTGGTGCTTCAGGCAGGGAGAGACTTCAGGAAGTATTAAATAGCTGCTGGATGCGTCACGGCAGCAGTTGATGGGTGAGTCACAGCCAGCCTGCCAGTGCTCCAGCATGGAGGATGGTGGCACAGGGCCACCCCTCCCCTCCTTGCTTGCTGTTTATTCATTTATTGGGTTGGTTTTTTGACTTGTGTGTCTGCACACAGCTGGGATGAGCATCCCCTGCCATTGGGTGGGAGAGGAGCGAGAGGGTCAGGCTCAAAGTAGGGATGAAGTGACCGATAGTACTCCACCATTTGCCTGGAGTGTATCCAAAGGGATGCAGAGTTGCTGATCCCTGTGGACACCTTGGTGCTTCACGGATAGTGGGCTAATCACAGCTTGCTCTCAAGTATAAATACATCTTTATTAACTATGAGTCTTTGAGACCTTACTCCCAGTCCAAACCATGACCCGAAAGGCTAGTCTGGATTTTTTTCAGTGTCAATTATGCTTTCTGGGAAGCTCTCCCTATGGTGCTGCTCTCCTGCCACCTAGCCCTGTACCCAGTTCTCTGCCAGGGGGTGGATATAGTGAGAGAGACGAGTGAACCTGTAAAAATGGGTGAAACCTTAGCACTGGCTGGCTGCTCAGCTCAAAATCCCTTACAGTGGTCCCAGATGGTTCTTGTTAGGACCTCTGGCAGAGGTGTTCGGATGCTTTGGGATTTGGGTTGCAGCTAGCCTTGCTCTTGGGTGCAAAATTGGTGGTTTTCTTCCTGAATCAGATCTTATGCTATTCTTGTGTGTGGTGAAATGTGTTAGAAAGGCTCTTGCAAAGGACTTGCAGTCCTTGGCTGGAAGGTGCTGCCTCAGCTTCTGAGAGACCCTGAGGGGGAC